AGTAGTAGTAGTATAGCAATAGCAGTAGTAGAAGTAGTTGTAATACATTTAACATAAACAGGTGTCATCGTAATCGTCGCGGTGATGGTTATAGTAGTTGTTTGGCAGTAGTACAGAATACAATAGTGAAAAATAAATCAATTCAATAGGAAAACCTTTACACAAAAATTATTTTAATATAAACCAGCGGGATGGAAAAACAGTATACACAAACAGAAGTATGTTACAGTATATCTTCTTCTTCTTAAAGTCCATGCGGTGTCGCGTTGGTAGTCATGACTATCCACAACCTTCTGTCTCGAGTACTTTCAGGCAACTCTGACACAGATAATCTTCCAAGCCCTGATGTTAAATTGTCTAGCATCTGTTCTCTAGGTCTACCTCTGCCTTTGCTCCTCTTCCACTTTCCTACCGTCACGATGAACTCCAGTGTTCTCCTTCTCATCACATGACCAAAGAATGTAGATTGTCTCTTTCTGATGTGGGCAATCAGTTCTCTTCGTGAGTCAGTTTCTTTCAAAACATATTCATTACTCTTGTTATAACACACACACACACACACACACACACACACACACATATATATATATATATATATATATATATATATATATATATATATATATATATATATATATATATATATATATATACACACACATATATACACTCAGACACACATACACACACAAATATATTTATATATATATATATATATATATATATATATATATATATATATATATATATATATATATAAATATATACACACATATATACACTCACACACACATACACACACAAATATATATATATACACTCACACATATATACACTCAGACACACATACACACACAAATATATATATATATATATATATATATATACACACATATATACACTCACATACACATACACACACACACATATATATATAAACATACTAAGTAAAGAAGTAGTAGTATAGCAAACAATACCTACCTATTAGCCTTGGCAAAAGCGTACAAACTCTCCGCCGCATTCAAAAGCTGGGTAGAATAGGCAGTGTCCCCTTTATCTTTGAACGCGATTGCGCCAAGGGCGAGAGAGGCTGCTGTTTCTGCTGCCACGTCACTACCCTGTAAACCATGTTTCAGTTAGTTAGATGCGTATCCTTTACAGGAAGTTGCAGAACCAATCCCAGCATATCTTTTATGGCTGTTGTGGTTTTCATAGGCAAATTTCACGTTTAGTAGTTTGCCACTGCTTGCCACGGTCAGTTCTCAGTACCAACGCAAGACAAATCGAACCCGGCACCCTGGCATTACAAGCCCCGTTTGCAAAGTCTAAGCCACGGACTCGGTGTGTGAGTATACTCAAATAATGGCTGATACGTTTACGTATTTCCAGACGACAATATTCTGTTATGCTGTAATAAGATATGGGAATTGCAACCCATGGGCGACGGTCCTTTTCTCTATAGCACAAAGCACGGGCAGTACTTATAGACTATGTGTTTTCATGCGTCACGACCTCTAACTCATCCTGCCTTGTTTACTCTAAAGAAAAAGTAACACTAGTACTTTTGGAAAAAAGGATGCTGCAAAAGTCGCCGAATCAGAAGATCAGTGCTCTCTGTATCAATCTGTTAGTCAATTTTCCTAGACCAGCTGCCAGTCAAGGCTAAGTACCTGGCACTCGAATAAATGCTAGTGAAAATGATTGTAAACTTTATAAATGTAAATTAGTGACTGATCTAAGCTTAGCAGATACCAAAAAAAAAAAAAAAAATGTCTCGGAAAGTATAGGCGACAAGATTCGTGTTGAACCCTCAATTATCAACTATGTACATAAATATTGGTTTTACCATAACTATATTCCCACACCTGAACCCCGGCTGAATGCTTATTTCAGACCCACTTAAACCTACTCAATCCTTACATTTAATGCGATTCAGTCGGTATCTTCAATCCCTGTATGAGACAGTCAGAAGTTCTCGCTAAGATAAACACAATTGTAACCTTACTCTTGAATCTTTTTCAAAACTGGAATTTACCATTACATTATTTACTTTATCTGACCAAAAGAGTGACGGTGGTGATCCATACTGCATAGAGCTTTATACTTCGTACACTAAGATCACTTTTTGCGCAGATCTAACACAATATTGCATGTTAGTTGCGTATCCTTTACAGGACGTTGCAGAACCAACACCAGCATTGGCTGTTGTGGTTTTTCTAGGCAAATTTACGTCCAGTAGTTTGCCATTGCTTTCTGGACTGTCGGCTTCTCGATACCACTGTCGAAACCAACAAGGGCCGCAGCTAACCCCATATTAGGATGCCCAAATTCCCAGCAGCTGTCCCGCTGACCATCAAGTACAGCCACAGCCGCCTACTTCGTGCACTAATCTTAATAAATCCAAACTAGAAATATACTATTAAAAAAAAAAAAAAAAAAAAGTCAGCTCCGCAAGACTACAACCAACAACGCCAAAAAGCCCTCATCAGCAATATACACAAACGGACATTTATACCATTATTTGCTGCATATCACCATAACGTCTTGTTCGAAAATCCGATAAAGCGCTGCATGAGAAGTCCGAGGTCTGGGATTCATGAACCCCGTTTCCCTGAGATTGTCTAGGAGGATAATAGGCCGAAACATTTATTGAAAGGAGGAATCTCCTACCAATGACCGGTAGACTCCTGATGCCCATAATCCTGCTGTGGAGTTCTCACAAACAAGAATACATACAATCACATAGCGTTTCGGTGAGCCCTGCGACAAAATCTCCATCCAAGCATGAATATTAGTGGCTCTTGGCTCTGTGTTCATGAACTAGTAATTATTTCCAATGATATTCTTCTGCCTCGCGATGACAAGCATTCCAGCAGTACCCACTAAATCTCCACGTCCTGCTCATTTCCTCCAACTTTCTTATAACATCGACGCTCTCCAATTTCCTCAATGAAAAGCACCAAAGAACGTTGATTGTAGTCGCTTTCTGCAATTTGTGTGTGTCTGGTAGCATCTTTATACAACTTTATAAAACAGTGCTACTAGCAGAAAGCGAGCAGGAGTTATGAGAATGAGTGAATCAAGTAAACAGGCGGAGTACATTATATATATAGTTTAGGCATTTAAAAAATGGCCTTCAACAATGGAAAAGAGTCGGAAAAGAGTCGCCAAAATTCAAGATCACATTAAACGTCGATGTATTATAACAAATAACAAGTTTCTCCTGTCTGGGAAACGTAGTAGTAATAGATGATAGAAAAAGCTAAACAGAAATAAAACAATATAAACAAAAAAGAATAGTAAAAGTTGAAATGTCTTCAGGAAGATGCATATTTCGTATTCTGTTTACTATCCACTCTTCCTTGATGTTCAGATCTTTTGGAATGTCAGTATGTTTTTTTCCTGCTTTGTCCATGGTAATTATGAGAATCTGTCTATAGCAATTCAGCTTGAAAGCCCCTATTGTATCTCTTACATTTATATATCTACTTATAAAGATCTTACTTATAAGCATCTTACCGGCGAAGACTCACTAATTATCAGACAAGGCCGAGCCATCGTCATCTGCTCGGGCCGGCCCCAGAATTTGTGGTCAACATTCCCATCTCCCACCTGGGCAGTTAGCTCCTTAGTGGTTGGGTTCCAAGCCTTGAGGAAGTAGTCCAGGGGCCACTTGATCATGTCGTACATCATATCTAGCTGACCAGCCTTGACATAGCCATCCTTGAAGGCGTAGAGTGACCAGAGGAGAAGCGTGGTGGTCGAGGCCATAGGTAGACCGAACTTTACATGGTCGCCAGCATCGTACCTGTCCGGAGAAGGGAATCAACGTTTTTCAAATCTTGCAAAATGGCCCATTAAAACACATTCGTCTCTGAACATAAAATACTCTTTTTAGTTACTCGGGGAACCGTGATGGTACCTGGGACTTCCAGCACTCGGGGCGGATGCCAAACATCGAGACCACTCACCACCCCCCCCCCCCTCTATTTTGTTTGCAATTCACACGAAGAATCTATGGCATAATACCTGCAAGCAAGCTGAAGTAAACATTTTGAGATCATGCAACTTTCAGTGGCAACTAACGGAGCAAGCAACTGACTCTTTGAAGAACATTGTCGGAACTTTTGAACTGAAATGCTATAGAAATTTTTTTAGAATGCCGATTATCAAGAAGATCAAATCCGCGTTTGGGTTCGGGGACTCCATTGTGGGGGGAAACAAAAGTCTACCCACTGCCTTCCCAACAAGCATGTCGTAGAAGTCGACTAACTGGTGACTTCCTTCGTAGTCGGAGTGCATTCGCCCGAGTGGCAAAGAACAATCAACAGCACAAATAAGTCCGTAAAACGGATGTACACACAAAACTCAGTCCCTGGCACAAAGCCAGATGGACGAAAAACCAGGAATTGCCGTAACAGCTTACAGCCGATGTACAAAGAAGAAGAAGAAGAAGAAGAAGAAGAAGAAGAAGAAGAAGAAGAAGAAGAAGAAGAAGAAGAAGAAGAAGAAGAAGAAGAAGAAGAAGAAGAAGAAGAAGAAGAAGAAGAGGAAGAAGAAGAAGAGGAAGAACAAGAGAGAAGCGTAACAATCCTGATAACCCGAACATCAAGGAGAATTGACTCGTAAACAGCATTCTCTCTTGAAAGCTGAGATATTTTGGCCCTGTTAAGCGCCGTGGTGGCTGACTAGTGCGGTCTTGGAATGTACCACACGCCTGCCATGTATCTAGGGTAATTGTTGTTAAATGTCAGTCCTCCACACATTCACTTGATTCCTTCTGTCCACAAACCATACTGTCAACTTTCATTGACACGGCACATGCTGATGGTGATGACATTTGGAGCAAAGAAGGGGAACCCAACAAAAGCCTCACTATAATGCCAGGCACACGAACATGTCAACATGTGTTATCGTAACCACTAACATTGTCTTCGAGTTCTCTAATATGATACACCACGCCAAATACGATCTTTTATTACCATCAGTCTCTTTACTATGAACGAACACATTGCGACGAAAATGAACTGGTGATCAAGGACTCACTGTAAAGTAGACTACTGACTTCCAAATACTCACATCGACAGTCTCTCCAGACAAGGACAATACACCCCACTAGACTATTGACAAGGTGCCTTCTACGGGTGACTCACACCCAATCGCCAGGTACACCCATGTGATGTGCAGTAACAATCCTCTGAGGCTTCTTCCTCTAAAAGGCCAAACCACTTGAGGACTTAAGGTAGATGCACCACTTGGTGAAAGACTATAGACCTCCCGTCTGCTACCCCAGCCACTCTTTGAAATATCACCAATATCCCGTCAATCGGCCTCTGATACCTCCCTATCACAACTCAAAAAAGTTCCCCAGCACTTTCCTCCATAGGATTTGAACAATTCGCACACACGTTCAGACACTTAGACTGGCTGAAACCGACTAACCCACATACTATGCATTTCCGCCAACAGCGGTCAGCTACCCGTGGATCTGACTTTTTCGCTAACACTCGGAGTTCACCACCTACTCGTGCTGTCGACCCATTCGGATCCCACAGTATCGGTTATGTCACCAAGTTTGTCATTAACTTAAGCGACACATGCTTCTCCATTGGCGCATGCTCCACGTTTTTTCCAGTGGCCTTAATGTTTGCATTTGAAAATAACAGTGGTCGAGAGAGAAGGGCGATGGAGAGTCCAGTTTCCGAAAACGAGTCAGAGGCCGACCGCCACGAACGTGGATACAGAATATTGAAGATGCACTGGCTATGCAAGCGCACATCTGGAGTGCAGGTAAAAGAAAGCATATTATAAAGAGAGAAATATGGTATGTCTCTATATATTAACTAGATTTCGCTGATGCAAAGATTTTTCTAGACTAAGAGTCCAAATTTTCAGTCGTCTAGCTACTGAGTTTAGTGCTTGGTGCGACACTATGAACTGTGAATTGAATGTCAAATGTATTTTTTAAAATGTTTTGCTGGAGGTGTGTTGTTGGCAGCACTATAATGGCTGATGGCCGTATACTTTTGTTGCAGGTGAAATGCACTTTTGTGATTTTTTGTCAGAATTCTTGTGTGGGACCGTAAGTGTTAGAACATCTGACAACTGCCGTATGCATTTTTACTATGTGTGTGTACGCTTCAGGATCTTGCAGAGACAGACAAGATTTTCACGTTTTCAAATGGGTCAGTGAGGAGCATTTTGCATGATTTTGATATAAGAACGGAGCAGCAATCGGGTGACCCCTATGCAGCGACGATGGAACTTTGACTAACTAACTAATACGCCTACACATGACATTCCTTCAGCTAACCCTTCTTTTATGCATCCATGTCTTACCAGCCACCGGGAACACAGTCGTCCAGGGCAGAGTCCCCTCTCCATTTGATTGGGTTGTTTGCAGGGAGTTTTCCAGATCTTTGAGCGTCATAGAACAAGATGGACTTGCCCAGTGCCTCTGCATAGTTCTTGGATGGAGTTCCTCCTCCTGTGAAAGAGCAGAAGAGGATAGACAGTGTTCGCTGACTGATTGATATAATTTTTCATTTATCACTTGGTTATGCCGTTATACGTCACAGTCGAAACCAGTCTCTTCATTCTCTTCTGGACAACACTAGATATTGTGCATATAATGCAACCGCTAACCCGTTCCCTGTTCTCTCTCACTTAAGTTCGTTGAAGATACAGCGGTAACAGACCAGAGGTCGATCACGCAGAAGATGGACCGCCGAAATAACTGTAACACTGAAAAATAGTTTTTACTAAGCGAACTGAAGGGCCCGTTCCAGAGATCTCTTTCTGCCCTGACGCCGCGAGGCATTCCAGATGTAGAGAACAGAAGAAGAAGAAGAAAAAGAAGAAGAAGAAGAAGAAAGAAGAGGAAGAAGAAGAAGAAGAAGAAGAAGAAGAAGAAGAAGAAGAAGAAGAAGAAGAAGAAGAAGAAGAAGAAGAAGAAGAAGAAGAAGAAGAAGAAGAAGAAGAAGAAGACGAAGAAGAAGAAGGGTTTCTGCTGAATGTCTTAATTTCTTCATTCCATTTGCTTCCCATATCGGTACCTTTCTGTTACTCATTGTCTGTTTTGCCTTAGAATCTGTTCAATATATGTTTTCTTACCTTTGTGACTGTTGTTAGCAAACGTTGTGCAGGCATTCCTGTCTTTCTTGAACAAGTTAAATTGAGTTTTAAGAACCGACATCACAACACTCGGAACCTTCCCATAAACACTCCCCCCAATCTCCAGCAGCCAGCGAAAAGTTCCAGCTCCGAATGTATCCGTAGCAGTCTTATTGTGTCCCCTTTTTGCCTTTCCACTGAGTGTAGAGTGTTCACTAAATTCCCGACTCACTCCTTGTTTGACGATTCTCTTTAGACCCGGATGATCTAATTTTGCTACCCGTTTGCATGTCTGTTTTCAATTCATCCTATGTAATTAACAGTGCACATATCTTTCTTGAATTCATCACACGTGCTGTTAACCTGTGTTGGCATGAATTATTGGCTATTCAGATACGTGTCTTAAACAGTTCTCAAAATGTTTATGTCATGTTAAAAATGAAACAAAATTACAAATAAAAAAACGTAACTTGGTTTAAATTGTATAATTAGAAGCTCTATATTCTGTAAGGCGATTCAGTTCTATTTTATCTTTGTCTCCACGACTGCCGTATTTTTAGTCCCTGCCTCTAAGTGCACACGTGTCATCCCCTGCAATACTAGCATCAGTATATAACAGTTTGGCAGACCGACAAATGTATTATTCGTACACATTTATGGTTTTAATGAAGATTATAACGAAATAATAAAAAAAAATTCAAAAAACATTTGCAACAAATGAAATATAAAAAAATAAAAACATATGTCAAAGGGATATTACTCCAGCGAAAGTGTACTTTTACTGATTTTTTGCAGTAATTAAAGAAACGCACAATAATATGGGCCGCCAATGCGAATGTTGGATCAAACATTATAGCCATAATGGCAAATTAAAATATAACCCTTAAATTGGTCAAATTTTGAGAGAAGTTAACACTTCATTTATAATAAACTCATCAGGTGTTTATCGCTTGTGTGATGTCCCTGTGGGGTACAACTACCTACCCACCTACCTGACGAGATACAATATAATATAGTTAAAAAGTTGTCCCCATATGTGATGCAACGTTTCGTTATTTAAAACCCCACCGCCGGTCTTTGCCGGGGCCCTGAATATAGCCGGGCCTAACTTATGAAAGGGGTTTCCTGGACTTCTCCACTTATCGCTAGTGTGATGTCCTGGTTGGGTAGAACCTACCTACTTACCTACAAGATACAGAAAATATGCCAGGCGATAAATTGTGCAATGTATTTTTTGTGTCCACATTATCTTAAAAACCCAACAGCCTCTCTTATTTTTGAGGCGCCGAAAAATTACCCGATGATCCATCTATCCCTGCTATGTAAGAAATTATTCTGGTAGCAATGTACCCCCGGCCCTTCTCCACCAACTTGAGCATGAAAAAGGAAGGCAATGATGCTCACTCAAGCGTGTTATTAAAAAAAAAAAAAAGCAACTTATCCTATCAACATAATTTGTTATGTGTTTTTGCATGCTATCGTATTTCCAGATTAAAACAGCGCATAAATTAAATTACTTACCTGTGTTTTGAGAAGTTGAAGAATTAACCCCATGACCGTCCATCCCTTCGATGTAAAAAGTGGCCTTAGGAACAATATTTCCTCCTACATGAGCTTCGAAAGCAAAGCAAAGATGAGCTCCCACATGTTGCTGAGCGATGAAGGAGTTGCTTTCAAAGACAAACTCTTTGCCGGACAACTTGGTGACCTTCGCTGCCCAAGATTCCACCGTGTCTACGTCCTCTGAGAAAATGAGATGACCAGTCCAGCCATCCAGTTCCTTGGTAACAACAATACAGATGGATCCTTCAAAACCAGTGTCCCAGTGGTTGGTGATATTTACGTCCACATCAGACGCGGCTAAATTGATGACGCTGGTTGCCAACAGGAAATGCCAGACAGCGTTCATGTTTCACGAAGCAGCGTGCCTGCAAAGAAGACCGTTACAACGTTCAGTCTTTCACACGGAAACGATTGTCTAGTCTGGACTCTGACTTTTGACACAATCGCCACGAAACAAAATGGATTAGTCCAGATTCCCCTATGAAGCCCTAAAATGGATACCGGCAGGGAAAATAAAACAGGGAAGACCAAGAGAGACCGTTCGTAGAACCATTACCAGGGAAGGCCCAACCATGGTCCTAATGAACATCCAAGACCTAAAACAGGTGACAACGAACCACCAAACAAGGAGAGCTATGACCTCTGCCATATGCGCCGCCTTTGGCTCAGGGGTAAAGACAACCGAATCGTCTCACCAGTTACCTGTTGATTACACCGTCGTCTCGTCTCGCCGAAAAGTACATTGTTCCATCGAACTCAGCAGGGAAGTACTGGGGCCTGGCTTCATGAGCCAGGTTGGCCCACCATTTAAAATTGTTTAGGAAGTAACGGGCCGAAACAATTGTCGATGAAGGATTTTCTGCTGAAGACCGGTAGACCCTGCTGTACATGCTCCCCTGTGGAGTTTTTCTTACAGCTAACTTTTCATACACACACAAGTATATCGTTGTCTACCAAAGAAACTCTAAAAATAACTAGTTTTAAAACAAACTTTATGCTACCAGTTTCATACTTGGACCCTTAGTAAACTAATTAAATCAAAGCCTTAAAATTAGAGATGAGATGTTTTAAAAGAGCTGCCGGTGTAACTGACAGGGATATTGTTAAATAATGCAGAAATCAGAAGAAGGTTTGGCTTGAAATACTCTTTAAATAAAAAATAAAAAACAACAACAACAACAACACACACACACCTACAAACAGACACAAAAGACCAAATGGTTTGGTCATCTGATCGACAACTATGGTGCCTTTCGCTACAAAGCGCCACGCTCAAGAAATACAATGGACACAGAAAAGGAAACGCTACGCAAAATAGAGAACGACGGTATCAAGAACAGGCTCAAAGAAATAAAGACAAACTTATGCTAAGCACTTGAAGTAGCACCCAGAAGATTAATTTCCAACACTTTGATTAGATAAGTGGAGGGAAAGAAGAAGATGAAGAAGAAGAAGAAGAAGAAGAAGAAGAAGAAGAAGAAGAAGAAGAAGAAGAAGAAGAAGAAGAAGAAGAAGAAGAAGAAAGAAGAAGAAGAAGAAGAAGAAGAAAAAGAAGAAGAAGAAGAAAGCAGAAGAAGAAGAAGAAGAAGAAGAAGAAGAAGAAGAAGAGAAGAAGAAGAAGAGAAGAAGAAGAAGAAGAAGAAGAAGAAGAAGAAGAAGAAGAAGAAGAAGAAGAAGAAGAAGAAGAGGAAGAAGAAGAAGAAGAAGAAGAAGAAGAAGAAGAAGAAGAAGAAGGAACATGCATAGTTTGTGGTGACTGCACTGATAATGCACTCTTGAGTCCTTTGAATGCCGGACATTGATAGTACATTAGATATGAAAACTTTTGTTTTATTACCTACAACTGGGTCTCTCTCTCTCTCTCTCTCTCTCTCTCTCTCTGTATGTATGTATATATATATATATATATATATATATATATATATATATATATATATATATATATATATATATCATATATATGTGCACATGAGCTAGCTGCCTGCTGATAGCATAGCACAAAACAGAAAATGAACTGCAAAGCTCAGTTGATGACCTCCCCAGGGATCTCCATAAAAATTGTACTAGTGAACTCGAACGACGCAGTGGTGAAACGAACCCACGACCTTCATGGCGCGGGTCAACAGCTTCACTAGGTCGCCACGTAGACTCCTTAAAGAATAATTTGTATAAACAATTGAACTATCACACAGTTATTTAAATTACCTTTGTGCTTGCAATGCCAGATAGTAAAGAAATAGTAACAATTGTGAGCGATACAATGCAAATAGCCGTAGTCTGGCTATCTATCGCCTTGTAGCAGGCAAATGAGTGTGTACCATAAATGTCCACAACTGTCACGTTTACGTGACGTAATCCATTTCTGTTTTAAAAAAAAATGGCACCGTTCTCTGCAACCGATTGTTGGATTGTATTCACTGCGAACTATGGGAATATCGTCTTCTTGATTTTATGGTCACCGACTGTAAGCTCCGGCGGAAAGTCCTTGTTGTTCGTCTATTTGGACTTTGGATTTTTGTCAGCACCTGAGATTTGCACGTACATCCGTCCTTGAAGGAAGTCCCTCAATTAGTTGACTCTTAGGACATGTTTGTTGTGGAGGCAGTGGGTCTAACTGATGTTTTCCCACACGGGAACTATTGGAATATTACCTGGTGAAGCTTCCATTTCCCTTAAGGGACAATTCTCCTAACACTGTCTGAAAGTCCATAGCACGGTCTTTGTCTAAACTGCCAACCCTAGGAATAGAGCCTTGGCAAACATCGAGGATTGTATTGTAAAACAACTTCACTAATGGGCAATGAACAGGCATGCCTGTGTGTTGGGAAACGAGCAGGCGATCTTACTGGCTGGCTTTGCTCAACCTGGTGGAATACTGATGCGTGATAAGGCAGACGTGGTTAGGGCCCTATAGGAGAACGTGGACAGTTCGGAGGAGCAAATGGATCATCACAGTCAGGTGACAGTTATAAAGCGGGAAGTGACGAGAGTTTCTAGCCGATACTCGACGCTCAATGGAAAGGCAAGACGGACGTATAATCAGAATGCTACTGGCACCATTGGTACTAGAAAGCGCTGGCGGCCGAAGATGGGGACGGTGCGCCTATGGGAATGCCCAATATCTGCGATGTCAGTTCTTAAATCAGCTCAGCTCAACTCAAATCAAATAAACTTAACGATTTCCCGATCTTCTAAGCCACTGAACCACACTTCGGAGACCTAAATGATGAAACATGTCGATGCAAGGTGGGTTGTGGGGCTCCTTTAGGACAACAAAGAACAGTCCTATTGCACACCTTAAGAACATGGAAATATACAAAAAAAAAAAACGAAAAGTGTATTAGTGAGCTTCACGAAGAAATAAACACAAACGAAAATGAACGTTGCGACTACAGAGAATTCATCAGCACAAATTTAAATTAAACAAAACCACACGAAAACAAAATATCAATTAACTGATGCATCCCGAAGCAGGCAAGCTGATGTCTTGTCACCTAAAACATGTCGTAAAAGTCGAATGATTGGGGGTGTTTCATTTAAAGTCACATTGCACCTGCCAGAGAAGCACGACACCAGCAGTCTGCATACAAATTAGCAAGATCTGCAAGTGGATGTGAATGCAAAACTAAAGTTCAGGATTAAGACCAAAGCCCAGGATAGGACGAACACCAGAAATTTCGGCAGGAGTTTAGAGAATGTATGGGCTATGAAAAACAAGAGAAAGGTAAGACCTTACGAAACAAACCCAGCAAGACTTGGAAAAACTATCCGGTAGACTTGACAGGTCTCAAATATAACGACATTAAGTCCTCAATGCGATGACTGAGTCAGTGGATGGCAACTGGTTAACTCAAACAGTCAATGACAACTCGGTCACTCAGTCAGTGGTTGGCAACTGGTTAACTCAAACAGTCAATGACAACTCGGTCACTCAGTTAGTAAATGGCAACTGGTTAACTCAAACAGTCAATGACAACTCGGTCACTCAGTAAAATGGCAACTGGTTAACTCAAACAGTCAATGACAACTCGGTCACTCAGTTAGTAAATGGCAACTGGTTGACTCAAACAGTCAATGACAACTCGGTCACTCAGTTAGTAAATGGCAACTGGTTGACTCAAACAAACAACTCGGTCACTTAGTGTACAACTCGACTCAAACAGTCAATGACAACTCGGTCACTTAGTTAGTGGATGGCAACTGGTTAACTCAAACAGTCAATGACAACTCGGTCACTTAGTTAGTAAATGGCAACTGGTTGACTCAAACAGTCAATGACAACTCGGTGACTCAGTCAATCGATGGCAACTCGCCGACTCAAACAGTCAATTCCCCCCCCCCCCCCCCCCTCCCAAGTTACTTCCTTTATTCCCGTTTCCCTCTCTCACAGTGACTGAAAGAACCCAGTGACAATAAAGCAGGAACAAATCTCACATACCTTCTTGAAATATTTAAAACATTTGTTTAGGATAGCCTGACATTTCAGAGTATCGTCTGTCCTATTTAGGTTAAGGGTCTTGTGGCGAAGTGGTCAGGCAGTTTGTCTTGCGTTCTGCAGTTCCTGAGTTCGTTTCACAGACGCATCGTTCTTTTTTTTTTTCACCGGAGCATTTTCACAGAAACCCTCAGGGGGATGTAGCTGTGCAGTGTAACGTTACTCTCGACAGACTTCTGGCCCTTCTTTGGCGAGAGACGGAGTCTTGTAGGCTAGATCCGGACTACAAAAGTGGAATCTCTAGACTTTATCTTTGTCCTAAGTGGGTAGAAAGTTTCTGTTTCAAACATCATTATGTTAAAGCGATCTTTGCCCGATATGAGGAATAGTTTATAATTTATTACTTGATAGCTCCCCATGTTGTGGGTGATAAAGAATAGACCCAGTGCTCGCTAACAAAGCATGTCGTAAAAAGCTACAAAAAAGGGTTTTGCTCAAATCGAATCAACTGGGTCAAAATGTGTAGATATATCAGCCTAGCTGTAAACCACCACACAACTTGCCAATCGTCATTTCAAAAGGCGAATGCAGAAATAGAAGAAACAGAAACAGAAGAATAAGGAAAAACACGACCCCTACGATGAGTTATGACATAAGTAGATTCATCGAGAGCGTTATTTTTGTCAAGTCAAAACTGTTTAGTTATTCAAATCGTGAGTCTGGCACTGAGAGATGAATCGAGATCTGTAAGTTATTGCGCACGATTCTGGCCTCAGGAATTGGAGCAAACAGCTGTGCATTTTCATAGTCTTATCTTGATATGTTTTGGAAACAACACAAATGGTATCAGTCAACACTGCAAAGCGTTCAGCTGTACTAAGGCACCGAGGAAGCGTAATGGTTAGAAAACACCATCCGGTAATTTCGTGCAGCAGGGTACCAGCCCTGAGCTTCATGAACTCAGGTGGGCCCACCTCCGAAAGTGTCTAGGAATCGTGGGCCGAAACACTTGTCGACGAGGATAATTTCTACTGACGACTGGTAGATACCTGCTGTACTTGCTCCCTGTGAGTTTATTCCTAGACGCTGAACTACAGGCCCGAAAGTCCTGAGTTCAAATTCGAATCTTCCGGGTTATAGGGTCTTCAATGTTGGGGAAAACACGTATAGACCCACCGCCTACTCACAAGCATGTCGTACAAGTCGACTATTTGGGAGCTTCCTTTGAAATCGCACTGCATCTGTCGAAGAGGTCAGGAACCAACAGTCTGCATACAGATAAGTCAAATATGTAAAATGGATGGGCAGATTCTGGAACAAGACTGAAGTCCGAAGGGAGACGAAGAACCCGAACTTTTCTCCAGAGTTTGCCGCCGCTGAAGGAAACGAAGAAGAAATCCACCCCGAGATCCACTTTTGGTTCTTTAATAATGTCACCACAAACAAAGAATTGCCCAAGGAATTCCCCGGCACAGCCTACTATTCAAAAGGGGAAAAAAAAGGGAGGGGGCGGGTAGTAGATTCAGTGCATTATCATCATCATCAGGTGCCTTGCCGACTGGCGTGGGCGATCATGCTTCTCCATAATCCTATTCTGAGGCATGATAGACTAGGGATAATTCAGCGGTGGTTTCCCCTTGCCTTCCGCCAGTGTGTATATGGTTTGACTCCAATAGCCTATGTCTAAAGAGGCTTACCCTGCAAGGCAGCAGGGGGAGAGGTTATGGCGCCTCTTACCCGCCGATGGCCATGTCGTAGAGTTTTGAGGTATTTTATTCAGTGTAAAGGCTTGTAATATTGGTAATTATAGCCTTCTCGAACTTCAAGTATGACATGGATATTAAGTATTTTATCGGCTTTATACAGTCGTGGAAAGTAGGCTGAGGCTGTGGGGTAGGGATGTTGGGGTTAGGGCCAGTTCTAGTTGTTTTAAGGTCGTTAAAAGGGCTCACATCGTGGAATAAAGAACACGGGATACGCTGGTCGCTGACAGCAATGAGTCAAAGACAAGGTCCTTTTAGATGTATACTGCTGATCAGGAACTGACAATCAGAGCAATTTACAAGTTAGTTGATCTAGAGAGATGTCGGAATGCAGCAAGCCGCTGCTAGGGAATACACATTCAAGACGTAACCTTGGAAACACAAGAGACACTACCGGAAACGCACGAAGCTCTTTACTTTCAAGAATTCTTTATATGTTTATTTTAGTATCCAGAAGCCATGAACTGTTAACCCTTAGGCTCGGTATTGTGGATATCGCAACCTTTCGGCATTGATTCAATTGTAAATTCAGTAATTCTTGGAGAAATGTGGTTTTTCTGCCTACCCCCGGGAGTGAACCCGGACCACGTGGAGTACGTTACCCGTTCAGCTCGCAATCCGGTTTAGCCAACTACGCTAGAGAGCAGAATTCTTTATATTAATGTGGTTTGACCGTTCAATGACTCTTCATTTGGGACCTCTGAGTCTTTCTTTCCAGGTGATAGTGTTATATGTGTGCTGTGAGAAGGCTTTAGTTTATACATTTTACTTTATATAACTGTTATTGTACTTTCCTTTTCAAGTGGCAACATGACCAAACCTGACTAAAGTCAAGACTTGAGACGACCATCATCATTATTCAGGTGCCGTCTCTACAAGGAAGGCTGGCTGCAATGGATCTCTAACAGACTCTGTTTCTCGTCTTGTTTGTGCATCTCTTAGACTGCTGTTTGTCCGTCTTTTGATAGTGTCCTCTCACTTGTATCGACGTCTCCCTCTTGCTGTCTTGGCTTCGAAGAAAGCCCTTCAGGGTTGAGTATATTCAACAAGTCCACCTTCCTTCCAACATGACAAGGGTCCCCATGCTCATGGATTAGAATGTTCTAGTAATGGTATTATGTGACAACTGGTTAATGAGTTGTTAGAGGGGATAGGGAGCTCTGTAGCACATACCCTGTGAAGATAATACTTCAGCGATAGGTTAACATAAAAGTTTCAACACAAACGCACAGACGCAAGACTCCATCAATACTCAAACAACCTGGACCTTGGTAGTGCTGTATATTATTTGTAAACAGTTACGTAGAAAGCAATGAATGAATGAGTGAAGCAGAAAATGACATCAATGTTCCCAGGGCCTTTCCACATGTGGTCTGTCCCCTTCCTCAGCAGTCAACGAAGATTTCACACACAGATGATGCCTGAGTAAAAATGTGCCTGTCTAGTGCTTCGCTCATTTTCATCGAAATCAGCCTCTCCGGATATGACAACTCTGTTGTCCTCTTTCGTTGCACTGTTCATTTGATCCCAGTCAGCCTTCACGACGTCCACTTTATCACGAAGTAACTCACCGCCCAGAAGAGCGGCAGCAGCTAATCTATGAGCCTGCTCATTGTTACCAAAAGCCGAAAGTCCTTGACAAAAAACACCTGAAAAGGTTCCTGATTTGAGTTTTACCAAGCGATGCATGGTACCCTGAGCAATGAGTACCAGTTTCTTGTTTGTTTTTCTTTTTTCCGGAGCATGTTCTGCAAGTCAGTAGCAATACATCTACATCTACACCATCTTCAAGAGTTCATAATGACGATATGACGATATAAAGAAAAGACTCACTAGAAAAAAAAGCTTCATTATAGTAAAATCTAACACTATTACAGAAATATCACACAGTTCTTCACCAGTTAGCAGGTCCTTTGCAGAAGGTCCTTCCCTTCAAAGCATGCCTGACAGTCTCTTTTTCTCTTGCTCAATCTCCAGCCTGATGTGCTTTCATATCCAATGCATCTTTAATATTATGTATCCACCTTCGCGGAGGTCGACCTTGGACTCGTTTTTCGGAAACGTCACCCTCCATCGCCGTTCTCTCGAGACCGCCATGGCGCTTCAGATGGCCAAAATACATCGGCTTCATCCCACAGGTAACGACACTAGCAGGGGACTTTGAGAGTATTCGCGCTAGCGTGTCTGATCAGTGAAGTATCCCACGGAATGTGTCCGCAGTGGTAATAAAACCAAATCACCTTTCATGACCCAACTATAAGTTCCTCTACAGAACGCCTCAAAGGAAATGGACTTGAAAGCACCCAATCAGAAATCAAGAAGCCCCATTACTACGTAGAATAGCCAAATAGAAGATAATAACACACACACACACACACACACACACACACACACACACACACACACACACACACACACACACACACACACACACACACACATTATCCCGAAAAGTAAATACACGAAGATCGAAAGTATAGGCAAAAAGCTTACTTGAAAGTTAAACTGAGAATCGACGTAGTAGCGCTCTGCACATTCTAATACTCGTTTTGTCCACATCTTTAGCAGCCAACGCAGAGTTCCATTTTTGACAGTAGCAGGTTCTATCTAACTGCATATCTTTCTCGCCTTTTCTTCGAGGGCTGAGCGTCAGCCAAATCCCCGAGTCATTCCTGGCAACACCACTCTCCTCAATCTATATTTTGCCTTCGCGAAATTCAATCGCTCCAAAAGGACCCTTACAATATCTTGCTTGTCTTGCATCACTCCACCAGCAAGTGACACAGAACCAGTCAGTCTATCTGCTTGTTCGTTTCACAACACGCCAGCATTACCTGGAGAAAATTTCCAAAAGAGGCTAACTAACTGCGACCTCTGAAACGATGGTTGTCACTTTGCACGGAGCACTCCTGTCTCCGCATTTCTAAACTTGCTCTGTAAGTTAGGATCACGTCATAGTGTACAGCTCATTACCAAGCTTACTTAAGCTTAAGCACGATCGAAATTGCCCCCCCCCCCCCCCAACCCCCTTCAACGAAGCACGCAAGCAAGGCATTATATATCTTTTGAAATAACCAAACATTAAATTGCAGACCAAACTGGCAGCCTTTTAATTGACCGTAAAACAAATGTTTACGGATTGCACGGACATTTGTTGTTTGTCTGTGGGAAATTGTTGGTAGCCACAAGATGGTTGATGGCGGCCAGGGCGCCCTGGAAGCCGGAATTGTAATCTGTGGCGACCTCGTTCTGGATGTAGTCTGTTCGCTTGTCTTGGTAGAAATCCTGTCTGTCTGGTCCGCCAACTAGAGCTCCATACAAGATCTGTGGACTCGGGGCGTCGGCGTTCAACTGGGCGTCTCCGCAAGTTGCGGGCCTGGAGAAATATTGTTAGTTACAATGTTATATGTGTCAATATATGTCACTAGATATTATAACTAGCATGATTTGTACTGAAACCATAGGAAAAAAAAAAAAAAAAAAAAACGTACACGGAGGAAGAACACATACAAGAGAAGAAGGAAATTAGCTAAATGAGTATGGGACGGAGCCAAGAACAGAGTCAGTACTGTGTGGGATTGACAGAGTCAGTACTTACATGATTGACAGAGTCAGTACTGTGTAGGATTGACAGAATCAGTGCTGTGTGGGATTGACAGAGTCAGAACTGTGTGGGATTGACAGAGTCAGTACTGTGTGAGACTGCACAGAAACGAGAACAGACAGTACTGTGTGAGACTGGAGAGAGAAGAGAGCGCAGAGAGTACTGTGTGAGATTGGACAGAAAAGATAACACAGACAGTAGTGTGTGAGGCTGGACCTAGAAGAGAACACAGACAGTAGTGTGTGGGAGTGAGAGAAAAGAGAACACAGACAGTAGTGTGTGGGAGTGAGAGAGAAGAGAACACAGACAGTAGTGTGTGAAACTGGACAGAGAAGAGAACACAGACAGTAGTGTATGGGAGTGAGAGAGAACAGAGCACAGACAGTAGTGTGTGAAACTGGACAGAGAAGAAAATACAGACAGTAGTGTGTGGGAGTGAGAGCGAACAGAACACAGACAGTAGTGAGTGGGACTAAGAGAGAAGAGAACACAGACAGTAGTGTGTGAAACTGGACAGAGAAGAGAACACAGACAGTAGTGTGTTGGACTGAGAGAGAAGAGAACACAGACGGTAATGTGAGACTAGACAAGGAAGATAACACTGTTAGTAGTGTGTGAAACTGGACAGAGAAGAGAACACAGACAGTAGTGTGTTGGACTGAGAGAGAAGAGAACACAGACGGTAATGTGAGACTAGACAAGGAAGATAACACTGTTAGTAGTGTGTGAAACTGGACAGAGAAGAGAACACAGACAGCACTGGTACAACTGGAAACAACGAGAACAGAGACAGTACTGAGTGAAACTGCACAGAGGCAAGAACATAGACAGTACTATAAGTGATCAAGCATGTCACAAAAGTACAGTAGCATATGACATTTACTGGTATTGACTTTGGTTGACACACGCACTACTCTTATTATTTCTCGACTATAGTTTCAATGTGGTGATTTTTTAATTTCTTTTTTGCGATCACTGGCTGTTAACTCTGGCGGAAAGTCCTGGCTGTACACCAAAAACTGGACTTCAGCCTTACTCCAGGACTTGACTGTTGCGTGCACATCCGTTTGTACAAGTCTAGTTTATTCACCCGCAAACTGTTGGTTCCTTTCCTTTAAAGCAGATGCACTTTGATTTCAAAGAAAACTTCCGTACTCTCTACGTTGGCCAGGCTTCCGTCTGCGGACCTTCACTTAGGATGACCTCGAAGATGGTCTTGACCTTTTTGAGCCCTTGTGTGCCATCATGTGGAGTCAGCACCTCTACATTCCAATGTCGAAGTGAGTTGCTTACTTCACACTCAAATCCAAAGTATTAAAAAAAAGACATCAGTATTAAATTAACAAAGGTATTACTTAAGCAAATGAACTAAGTAATGGAAAGGTCACTAACAACACAGGAAGAGAGACATGGTTACCAATAGAGAGAAATTTGGAATAGGACTATTGCTGAAGTATATTGATAGACAAAAAATAAAATTGTTCCGCCATCTAATTAAATGAGAATGTAGCCAGGCCAAACTGATTATGAGACTCTACAGCAGAACATCTGGGAGCAAGGCCAGGGGAAGACCAAGAAAGAGATGGATAAATGGTGTAGCTGGAACTTGCAAAAAAGATAAACAAATCCATCACCAAAGCCACCCAAGAAGCGCATTACAAATACAGAAAACCACGACACTGGGCTATAGCCTGGTAACAGTGAGGCAACAAAACCACGACACTGGGCTATAGCCTGGTAACAGTGAGGCAACAAAACCACGACACTGGGCTATAGCCTGGTAACAGTGAGGCAACAAAAACCACGACACTGGGCTATAACCTGGTAACAGTGAGGCAACAAAACCACGACACTGAGCTATAGCCTGGTAACAGTGAGGCAACAAAACCACGACACTGGGCTACAGCCTGGTAACAGTGAGGCAACAAAACCACGACACTGGGCTATAGCCTGGTAACAGTGAGGCAACAAAACCACGACACTGGGCTATAGCCTGGTAACAGTGAGGCAACAAAACCACGACACTGGGCTATAACCTGGTAACAGTGAGGCAACAAAACCACGACACTGAGCTATAGCCTGGTAACAGTGAGGCAACAAAACCACGACACTGGGCTACAGCCTGGTAACAGTGAGGCAACAAAACCACGACACTGGGCTATAGCCTGGTAACAGTGAGGCAACAAAACCACGACACTGGGCTATAGCCTGGTAACAGTGAGGCAACAAAACCACGACACTGGGCTATAGCCTGGTAACAGTGAGGCAACAAAACCACGACACTGGGCTATAGCCTGGTAACAGTGAGGCAACAAAACCACGACACTGGGCTATAGCCTGGTAACAGTGAGGCAACAAAACCACGACACTGGGCTATAACCTGGTAACAGTGAGGCAACAAAACCACGACACTGAGCTATAGCCTGGTAACAGTGAGGCAACAAAACCACGACACTGGGCTACAGCCTGGTAACAGTGAGGCAACAAAACCACGACACTGGGCTATAGCCTGGTAACAGTGAGGCAACAAAACCACGACACTGGGCTATAGCCTGGTAACAGTGAGGCAACAAAACCCACGACACTGGGCTATAGCCTGGTAACAGTGAGGCAACAAAAAACCACGACACTGGGCTATAACCTGGTAACAGTGAGGCAACAAAACCACGACACTGGGCTATAGCCTGGTAACAGTGAGGCAACAAAACCACGACACTGGGCTATAGCCTGGTAACAGTGAGACAACAAAACTACGACTCTGGGCTATAGCCTGGTAACAGTGAGGCAACAAAACCACGACACTGGGCTATAACCTGGTAACAGTGAGGCAACAAAACCACGACACTGGGCTATAGCCTGGTAACAGTGAGGCAACAAAACCACGACACTGGTCTATAGCCTGGTAACAGTGAGGCAACAAAACCACGACACTGGGCTATAGCCTGGTAACAGTGAGGCAACAAAACCACGACACTGGGCTATAGCCTGGTAACAGTGAGGCAACAAAACCACGACACTGGGCTATAACCTGGTAACAGTGAGGCAACAAAACCACGACACTGAGCTATAGCCTGGTAACAGTGAGGCAACAAAACCACGACACTGGGCTACAGCCTGGTAACAGTGAGGCAACAAAACCACGACACTGGGCTATAACCTGGTAACAGTGAGGCAACAAAACCACGACACTGGGCTATAACCTGGTAACAGTGAGGCAACAAAACCACGACACTGAGCTATAGCCTGGTAACAGTGAGACAACAAAACCACGACACTGGGCTACAGCCTGGTAACAGTGAGGCAACAAAACCACGACTCTGGGCTATAACCTGGTAACAGTGAGGCAACAAAACCACGACACTGGGCTATAACCTGGTAACAGTGAGGCAACAAAACCACGACACTGGGCTATAGCCTGGTAACAGTGAGACAACAAAACCACGACACTGGGCTATAACCTGGTAACAGTGAGGCAACAAAACCACGACTCTGGGCTACAGCCTGGTAACAGTGAGACGACAAAACCACGACACTGGGCTATAGCCTGGTAACAGTGAGACGACAAAACCACGACACTGGGCTATAACCTGGTAACAGTGAGGCAACAAAACCACGACTCTGGGCTACAGCCTGGTAACAGTGAGACGACAAAACCACGACACTGGGCTACAACCTGGTAACAGTGAGACGACAAAACCACGACACTGGGCTATAACCTGGTAACAGTGAGGCAACAAAACCACGACTCTGGGCTACAGCCTGGTAACAGTGAGACGACAAAACCACGACACTGGGCTATAGCCTGGTAACAGTGAGACGACAAAACCACGACTCTGGGCTACAGCCTGGTAACAGTGAGACAACTAAACCACGACGCTGGGCTATAACCTGGTAACAGTGAGACGACAAAACCACGACTCTGGGCTACAGCCTGGTAACAGTGAGACAACAAAACCACGACGCTGGGCTATAACCTGTTTACAGTGAGACGACAAAACCACGACTCTGGGCTACAGCCTGGTAACAGTGAGACAACAAAACCACGACACTGGGCTATAACCTGGTAACAGTGAGACGACAAAACCACGACTCTGGGCTACAGCCTGGTAACAGTGAGACAACAAAACCACGACACTGGGCTATAACCTGGTAACAGTGAGACGATAAAACCACGACTCTGGGCTACAGCCTGGTAACAGTGAGACAACAAAACCACGACGCTGGGCTATAACCTGGTAACAGTGAGACGACAAAACTACGACACTGGGCTATAACCTGGTATCAGTAAGACGACAAAACCACGACACTGGGCTACAACCTAGTATCAGAGAGACGACAAAACCACGACACTGGGCTACAATTTGGTATCAGTGAGACGACAAAA